AAACAGTATAGAAAGCAAACATAGATATCAGAGACAGTGTGGGAGGAGAGTGGGAGATGGCAGAGGGTAAGAGATAGGGAATCAAGGATGGGGGGAAAAGCAAAACATACAGAAAACAAGAAATGGAAGATCATTTGCTGACAATAACATGTTTGTTGATGTGCTTGATTGAGACAATATACAGTGTACTCTGGATGGAAAAATCTCATTTTGTATGCTATAATGATGTATAGTGAATGAATGCAAATAAATAAATTGAAATAAAAAAAAAAGAAGAAGAAAGAAAGATGCAGGAGCCAGCAGGTGGAGTAGTGTTTAAGGTACTGGACTCCCCCACATAGCCAACTACACTTTGAGACCCAGACCCAGTGGCTTGAAATGCATGCCAGATGCATGTGCGTGCATGCCCAAAATACTGAGAGGAGAGCAGAAAAGGGATTATGGCAAGGCAGTCCCCCCTGAGGGGGTGATTTCTTGCTTTTTGTCTCTCTGGTGAGCACATGTGCCCTATAGCAAAAATCTCTCCAAAAAAAAAAAAAAAAAAAAAAAAAAGAAAGAAAGATGCAGTGGACAGGTGTTTTGTTCTAGATTGCAAACAATAAATTTACTATTTTTTTTTTTTAAAAAAAGCTAAATCAGAACACCAGAAAACCAAGACACCCAAACATAATTTTCACAGAGATCATTATATTTCTTGATTTTTTAAAGATAATCAAGTCATTGCTTCAAGAAAACTTATAATAAACTTCCATTTACCTGGAATCTAAACAATTAGATAATGTCACAACACTATTGTCCAAAATTTTGTGCCTAAGGATTTGTAAGACCTTATAAAGGTTGTATTACATTAAAAACATCTGTGTTATGGGACCAGCAGTTAGCGTAATGGCTATGTTGCTGAACTCCCATGTAGTTGACTGTGGTTCGAGTCCCGGACCCAGGAGCTTAAACTCATGCCAGGCACATGTGTGTGCGTGCCCAAGATCCCGAGAGGAGAATGGAGGAGAAGGGATTGGGTCTTGGCCATCCCCCCTGGGGGGTGATTTCTCACTTTCTATCTCTCTGTCTCTGTCTTTCTGGTGAGCACACGTGCCCGATAGCAAAAACCTCTCAAAAAAAAAAAAAATCTGTGTTATTACATAATGAATAAAATGTCAAAGACTAGTCTTAATAATTCATTCATGGTAGCTGGGATGATTCTTGGTGAAAAGATTATTCTAACAACCAGAACATTTCATTCCATCCTCTGGCCAACTTGGGCACGTGTGGCTTCATTCTAGGAGGACGTATACAGCCTCATCATCTGGTTCTAGATCCATCTATACTAATTATACAGATTTTTTTTTCCTTTTTTGCTGTCCAAGAAGCTTTTGCTTTGATATAGAAGAGGATTTTTGTTTACTGTTTCATATAAATTTAATTCATAACCTCAATTTGTACATAATTATTCACATTAAGCTGTAGATTCTACAGGAGGTATTATATTTATCAGCACTTTCCATTGCATCCAGCATATGGCAGAAACAAACGTTTATGAACCAACCAAATGGCAAAAACCTGATCTGCAAAAAGAATAAGTTCCATCTATCCACACAGCAATTTTTATCACCCAATTATTAAAAGTCACCACGTACTCTTTCTCCTCAGCAACAAAGTTAACTTCAGTACAGGACTTACACTGAATACTTACTTTCTCTCCTTTCAGGCTCATTTTGTTCAAGACAATAAGCTCCTGATGGATTCAGCTGCCACTGTAAGAGGGCACATTATTTCATTTATGTTTATAAAGAACCTAATAAATAGCATTTCCACACCTTGATTTTAAATGTCAAAAGAGCTTTAGAAATAACACAAGGAAATGGAGTCAGCATGTCCATACCAACAAAGCCCTAATAATGTCACCCTGAATGATCCTGAATGATACAGCTCTGGGACCAGAATCAGTACTTCTGGAGACAGAAGCAAACTTAAAGGCCCTTTGGTTCATTTTGCAGGTCAGGAAGCAGAAGAGCAGAGCGCTGTGACCTGCTGTGGGCTACACACCAACTACAGGCAGCAGTGGAATCAGGACCTGGGGGTGCCCATGCCCTGCACCACAGGATTTCCACCAATTCTTATTCCAGCTCCAGGTCCTCTATGGAGGCTAGAGAGGGCCACGGTGCAATGGCAATATGACCAAGATTAGCCTGCCCTTTGATATATTCCATCATATAAGCTATCATATATTTCTATTTCTTCTGATTATAGTTTCCCATTTCAACCATTCAGAATGAAGTAGAGAGCTTGAAGATTCTCAGATATTAGAGAAAACTAGAGCAGAAGAAAAAAAAAATGGAGTGCAATGAACATCCCATAGCCCAGCCTTCCTTCTTTACTTGGCCAAAACCTCCATCAGAATCACTAATGACTTCACCCAAGAAGGCCCTGCCAAGGTCCCAGCTCCAGAGAGACACAAATTAAATACAAACTACCTTGGTGTCTCTTCTGTAGCATCAGTTAGTTCATGAGAGTAACTGGGTGATATCCTGAGCCTCGAAGGGAGTGAGGTACAAGAAAACATTTTACCATGTGTAAAAAGTCCATAGAAAGGGAGGGCGGCTGGAACTGCTGGTCAGTTATAGAAGTGGGAAGGTTAGAGTTAGCATTGAGAGAGAGAGAGGACTTATAAGGCATAGGGGGTTACAAAAATAATTATTAAAAAAAAGAGAAAGGAAAGAAAAAGAAATGAAGAAGGCAGGAAGGAAGGAAGGAAGGAAGGAAGGAAGGAAGGAAGGAAGGAAATATACATGTTTTGAAATAGGCTGAATCACTAAAATCTACTATAATAATTTGGGTAAAGAAAGAACCAATACCCCTAAATTTACATTTAAGAATATTTTAAAAAGGCTTTTTATAACTATAAAAAAACTTAGAAAAAATCTAGGGGAACAATTCAATTAGGGGTGTGTGTGTGTGTATGTATGTGTATATATGTGAACATTGTATGATTATTATTGAAGAATTTTTTAGAGTTTGCCTTAGGGCATGTACACTCACCAGAGAAAGGAAAGGAGAAAGTGAGAGGGAAAGTGAGAAATCACCCCTTGGGGGGTGGCCATGCTTCAATCCCTTCTCCATTCTCCTCTCAGGACTTTGGGCCCACATGCACATGCTCTTGGTGTGAGTTTCAAGCCACTCGGTCTGGGACTCGAACTGCGGTCATCATGTGGGAGTTCAGTGGCATAACTGCTACTCCATCTGTTGGCCCCTTGAGGAATTTTTGAATGACCCACAAAATATACCAACGTGTTAATAGTGATATCTATCAGTTGTGGGATAACAATTTCCTAGTTTTCTAAATGAACATGTATCACTTTTTTTTAGAGACAGGGTGTCACTATGTCACCTAAGTCTGACTACAAACTCGTCACCCTCATGCTTTGGCCTCCTAAACAGCTGGGATTACAGGGCACATCTCTGCATTCCACTCTTACATTACTTTTTTTTTTTTTCTTTTTGGAGAGTTTTTTTTTTTTTTGCTATAGGGCACGTGTGCTCACCAGAAAGACAGAGAGAGACAGAGAGACAGAAAGCGAGAAATCACCCCCCAGGGGGGATAGTCACGCTGCAATCCCTTCTCCTCCATTCTCCTCTCAGGAGCTTGGACACGCATGCACACGAGCCTGGCGCGAGTTTAAATCACCGGGTCCAGAACTCGAACCACGGTCGACTACGTGGGAGTCCAGTGACAGAGCCATTATGCCAATTGCTGGTCCCTTACATTACTTTTTTAATTACACACAAAAAAGTAAAACCCACATGTACTACACAGAGAAAAAAAACTGAATAAATGAACATGACAAACACTGATAAAGCTATTCTCAAAATTAGCTTTACCTGGGACCAGCAGATGGTGTAATGGTTATGTTGCTGGATGCCCACATAGTTGACCATGGTTCAAGCCCCAGAGCCATCAGCTTAAAACTCATGCTGGGCACATGTGAATATGTGCCTAAAATCCCAAGAGAAAAATGGAGAAGGAATTATGGTGTGGCCATTCCCCCTACGGCAGGTGATTTCTTGCTTTTCTGTTTCTCTGTCTCTCTGGTGAGCGCACATGCCCTACAGCAAAAATCTCTCTAAAGAAGAAGGAGGAGGAGAAGAAAAATAGTGTTACCCTGTCCTAGGCTAGTTTTTGACACCACCATAGAACACAGCCGCTATCTGTAACATCAAAAAAGAAAAGTCTAAATTGTTCAAACAAAATTAATTTCAACTTACTTTAATCTTAAAAACAAATACCAAGTGTTTTTATATGCTACTGTTTTTGACATATAAGGCTACAATAATTGAAATTCAAATGCAGAACAAATACCAGTTCATGTTAATTGGTGGTATGTACTAATGAGGTATTTAGCTAACTACTTCTATTACATTTCAAGCCAGACCAGAGGAGGAAAAGGATAAGAGGGTGGAAGGCTAATCTTCATCAGAAGGAGAGAAAAACCATGAGAAGGTCTTTTCTCTCTAACGTGCACCTGAGTGAGGGTGCTCCTGGGTGGGCCTGGCCCAGGGAGGCATTTCTATGTGCCATCTCTGCCGCTGGGGCTCCCTGACCGGCCTGCCCCCTTCTGCTTCTCTTGTCTTCCTTTATATTCTTTTTTTTTTTTGGAGAGGTTTTTGCTATAGGGCGCATGCACTTGCCAGACAGAGAGAGACAGAGAGACAGAAAGTGAGAAATCACCCCCCAGGGGGGATGGTCACGCCACAATCCCTTCTCCTCCATTCTCCTCTTGGGATCTTGGGCACGCATGCACACGCGCCCAGCGTGAGTTTTAAGCCACCGGGTCTGGGACGCGAACTGTGGTCGACTACGTGGGAGTCCAGTGACACAGCCATTACGCTAACTGCTGGTTCCCTTCCTTTATATTCTTTTGATCTCTTCATTCTCTTAACAATTGAGAAGTTACCAAAATCTACTAGTGAGCAAGATATTTCAGAACTTGCCATAATAACCCATCACTCACAGTACTAAAGAGTTAAGTTGCTTATTCTTGTGAATAGAATTTGAAAAATTGATTTTGTCACACAGTTCAGGAGAAATGAAAGACAGAAAACACAAACACAGGAAGGGCAATTTCTCTGACTAATTGGATATAAGCTTTAACTAAGTTTTAAAAGAGAGCGATCTTTCACATCTCTTCCTTGTTGTAGTGCTATATCGCTCCCATTCTCTCTTTTTTTTAATAATTATTTATTTTATTTTATTTATTCATTTATTTTTTAATTTGACCAGAGAGAGACAGAGGTTGACAGTGAAAGAAAGAGGAAGTGAGAAAGCAAGCCACCAGATTCAGGACTCAAACCCTGGCTGGCCATGTGGGAGTGTCCAGCGCCTTAACCATCACACCACCTGCTGGTCCCTGCTCCCATTCTCTTTTAAACTGTGATAAACTTTAAATAAAACAATCAGAAATTAAAACAAATGAATGAATAAATAAAATGAAATAGTTCCTTTAAAAAATTGGAAATATAAGCCAAAGCTACATGATAAATTAAAAATGGTAAAAATGCACAATATACACACAGAAACTGATAACATGTTCCTGTATTTAAACACACACACACACACAGAGGTTGAGCATCTCTAATTCAAAAATCTGAAATCTGAAAGGTTCTAAAATTGAAAACTTTGGAGCACTAAAACTATACCACAAGTGGAAAATTTCACACCTGAAATTGTGATGGGTCAAAATTAAAATGCTACAAATACAAAATATTATGCTAAATTACCTTCAGCCTATAAGTACAAAGTATGTATGAAAACATAAGTGAAAAAAAAAAAAAACATAAGTGAAGTCCCATTACTAAAATATCAATATGCAAATACTTCAAAGTCTGAAAAAAACAAAATCTGAAACACCTGTTCTCAAGCATTTTAGGTAAGAAACATTCAATCTGTATATATCTGTGCTTGTCTATCTGATTAAGAATACTGGGGACAGCAGTTGGCGTAATGGCAATGTCACTGGACTCCCATGTAGTCGACCGCAGTTCGAGTTCCAGACCCGGTGGCTTAAACTCATGCCGAGCGCGTATACGTGCATGCCCAAGATCCTGAGAGGAGAAGGGATTGCAGTGTGGCCATCCCCCCTGGGGGGTGATTTCTCACTTTCTGTCTCTCTGTCTCTCTGTCTTTCCAGCGAGCGTACACACCTTACAGCAAAAACCTCTCAAAAATAAAAAAGGATATATATGTATGTATGTATGTTCCAGGCACCCTGGACAGATGTATATAAAAGAAATGCAAAGCTGTAATGTACAAACAATTCTGCTTCCCTGCTCCCCTGTAAATTCTAACATCTAAATCTTTCATTAAATTAAGTAACTGGATTAAGTAACTGGACGTCATAAAAAGCAATATATGACTGTGGACAGGATCTTTTGCTTTATAGGTCATTACTGGAGCAACAGGTGAACCTTCACTGGAATCTGTGGGTTAACGGCAGTAATGTATGAATGTTCATTACCAAATTATTGTGGCTGAATTGTTATAATCTGAGGAAACAAGGGTGATCTGGTATCATAGCAATGATTTCCAGGAAAAAAATATTTTGTACTGTTGTTTTTGTATGCTTAATATGGTTTCAAAATAAAAAGTTTAGGGAGAAAAATTTAAATAGTAAAAAAGTATAAAGAGTTACAGTTCTGGGACTAGCAAATGATGTAATGGTGACGTCACTGGATCCCACAGAGTCAACAGCAGTTTGAGTCTCGGACCTGGCAGCTTAAAACTCACACCGGGCATGTGCATGTGCATGTCCAAAATCCTGAGAAAAGGATAAAGGAGAAGGGACTGAGGTGTGGCCATCCGCTCTGGAGAGTGATCTCTCTCTTTCCATCTCTCTCTGTCTTTCTGGTGAGTGCACACGCCCTATAACAAAAAATCTCTCCTAAAAGAGAGAGAGAGAGAGAGAGCTACAGTTATAAGTTTTCTATAAACTCCCTCAGTACTTTTTATGAAGTATCAAATATTGAATTCTGATTGTTTTTCTTCTTTTCCTCATGAGAAACACTTGTGTGTGTATGTACATCTCCCTGTCTTTTGAGTAATCTTAAAATATTTTCATATCCACCAAGCCAAGCCCGAAAAAAAGGGTAGAAGAGGGGTAGCTCAGAGATTTTCTTTTATCGGCCACCAGATGGCACCAAAGGGCGCAATGGCTCAAGGTAAGTAAGGCCTTGTGCAACTCTACAGAGATGTAAATTTTTTTTTTTTTTTTGAGAGATTTTCACTGTAGGGCGCGTGCGCTCGCCAGACAGACAGAGAGAGACAGAGAGACAGAAAGCGAGAAATCACCCCCCAGGGGGGATGGTCATGCCGCAATCCCTTCTCCTCCATTCTCCTCTCGGGATCTTGGGCACGCATGCACACGCGCCCGGCTTGAGTTTTAAGCCACCGGGTCCGGGACACGAACCGCGGTCGACTACGTGGGATTCCAGCGACATAGCCATTACGCTAACTGCTGGTTCCCCAGAGATGTAAATTTTTAAGGCAGAGATCCTTCTTGGCACTTGTAGTTAGGTAAATGCTTGCACTGAATGATAAAATCGTTGAGAGTAAGTTGCTGAAACTTTTTAAAAGTGTGGGAATCACTATTTTACAACAACAGCAGGATACTTAGTCACAGAAAAGAAAGTACAACTTGAAAAAAATGTGTATCAGAGAGCCCATGTACGGTGGTTCAGGAGACCAGATCCCACATGGTTGACTTTGTGGTCTGAGTCCTGGACCTCGCAGCAGGTGTGTGCATGCCCAAACTCCTGAAAGGAGGGAGAGGTGGAGGGGAAGGGATTGTGACATAACCATCCCCCCAGGGGGTGCTTTCTTACTTTCTCTCTCTCTCTCTCTCCCTCTAGCAAGCACATGAATCCTCTGGCAAAATTGAAAAAAAAAAAAAAAAAGAACAAAGAAAAAAAGAAAAATCGTATATCTACTTACCGTAAATTTGCTCACACCCTCAAGTTCTCCAAACTTCATATAAGAGATATCTGCCTTCTTTTTTCCAACATCGACATCCCCTGCATAGATCTGTCTAATGCCTGCTCCTTTAATTAAAGGTACACACTCATCACACGGGCACTTTGTCACAAAAATCATGCTTCTTTCGTCTGGTTTAATTTCTTGACACCTACAAAAAATTTATAACATATTAGAAAGCTAATTCCTGAAAGGATATTTGTTAAAGAAATCCTTAAGTACTAAAATTGAACTCTTTTCAAAACAGATTTACAACAATGTAAATAATAATCATTAAGTCTTATGTTTTCTCAATTAGTGAATGTTCAAAATAAATAAACTCATAAAATATCACAATATAACCTGAACATGACAATTATTACAAGTAAAATTCACTTACTCATTCTAAGCCATTGCCACGATGTTCAGTACCGGATTATGAAGAAAATGAAAACAGAAAGAAACAGACACCAGAGAGACTGTGCATGCTAAAAAGAGAGCAACACTTTTTAAATAAGTTCCTTTTTATAATACTGGTATTTGGGGTTAAAACTAACACCTTCCTCCTTCAGAATTAACCATATTTGATTAGTTATTAATGCATTATGATAGCCAAAACACTTAGCCCTATCTTATGAATATTTTAAAAATGCTTACTAAATGAATGAATTAATATTGAAGTTCTGTTTTGAGTTCTAGTTCACTTAGCCGGTCCCTAACCTAGGGTAATTTTACTTAACAAACATTTGGATTGGACATTTTCAACGTCTGTACAAAATGAAACAAATCTGTAATGAAGAGGGAAAGAAAATGAATGAGGAGATTTTGGCGAAATTGTGCATGCCGGGGTATTTAGGACTCAGTAAGGACTGCTCACATCTGAGGCTACGGGGATTCTGCTTCGGGGTTCTGCAATTTACACTGCTCACAGCCAGCTGCCTTCCAATCCCACCACCACCCTTCCACATTCGTCTCTCTTGGGCCTTCCATTCCCACCACCACCACCCTTCCACATTCGTCTCTCTTGTTAAGGCTGTCATTCTGTTGTTGTTTTTTTTCTTTCTTTCATGAGAGTGAGAGACAGAGAGAGATAAAGAGGAGAAGACAAGCACCCCTGGCAGAACCTGAGACATGATCCCACCGCCATCACCCAGCCTCCTCTGCCAGCATCACGGGCCTTGTGCCTGGGACACACAGGTCAACCATGGAGTCAGTCCAGGGTCATCCATTTGGATCCAGCATTGCTTGAGGAATACATGACTGCTATGCCACTGAGCAGCCTGAGATTCTCATTTCTCTTCACCTGGACTAGGACAACAGAAGTCTATGCACGTGGTCTGGCCAAACACCATACCTGCTGCCTAAGACATCTGCAGAGTATGGCTCTGTTGATGCTACTGCACCTGCCGCCTAAGGCATCTGTAGAGTATGGCTCTGTTGATGCTACTCTGTGTTCGCGCTGCCTACCAGAGTCTAAGCTCAAAGTCCTCTGCTGTCCAGCCCCAGCCTATTCCGTGAGCTACATTCCCGTGTGTCCACATTCCGGCCTAACTGAAGAATTCATGTTCCTCAACATACTGAATACAATGCATTTTCCTACTTGTAGGCTGCTGCTTATGCTAGAAGCAAGAATGGTCTTCTCTTTAAGGAAGCATCTCTAATTGCCACAGTCCCAGGCATTCTCAAAGGTACAGCCCCAATGCCAGTCCTTCCATGTAGCTTTTCTAGCCCCCCATCCCTGGTGAATGTCCACAACACTTTGCGCTTATCCTCCCCACCCCCCAACACACACAGAATCGACCACTTAGGTGGATGCAATTTTACATCCCCAAGGACATCATGTTACACACTTCCCAAAGACAGGAGCCACTTCCTACTAGGTTTTCATACTCCTCTATCAGGTCTTTAATGGTAAATGCTCAGAAGTGTTTGTGGAAATGACCTAAATTAACATTAGAAGAAGGTAATGCCAGTTATAATCTCTAACCAAAGCAATTTGGTTCACAATAAAGTCTATAAATTTATAAAGATAAACATATGTGCTTCAGACTTAGAAAACAAAGACTATCTTACTATCCAAAGATTTAGAAGCTGAGCATAAACTTCAAGAACTTCAAGCAGTTTGGGGCCAGCAGTTAGAGTGGAGGTTAAGGCACTTGATCCCACATGACCAGCATCACCAGTTCAAGTTTGGGACCTGGAAGCTTGAGATTCGCACTGGGTGTGCGTACCTAAAATCCCAAGAAGAGAGTGGAGGAGAAGGGGCTGTGGCATGGTCATCCCCTCGATGGGTAATTTCTCACTTTCCCTCTATCTAGCTCTTGCTGTCTCTCTCTGGCAAGTGCATACACCCTATAGCAAAAACTTTAAAAACAAACAACGTCAAGCGGTTTTATAATGGGGGGAAAGAGAAGAGAAAACATTTAAAAATTGAGTAACTTGGAAGACCTGGACCATCTATGACAATGGCCTCAGGTTTGGCAGCAAGGACTAACCTTTACCAAAGTTACACTCCTAAAAAGAATGTTTCTTGGAATTTGAAAAAGGAAACAAATCACAACAGAAAGAAAACTAATTTCTACTAATCTTTGATATAGTGTAAAGGAAAATACACTTACCTAAATGTCAAGGCATTCTGTTCCGCATGTATGATGTATCTGAATTTCCTTATTTCTCTGTCTTTCTGCTTGTCATCCATGTGTGGGAAGTCAGCATACTCAGATCCGACAGGGAAAGCATTATAACCACATCCGACGAAGTACATAGCTCCTGTTCCATCGCAACTTGTCTACAAAATCAGCAAACCAACAAGTTAGTGTCAACATCCTGAAAAGGCACTTTGTAAAGTATTTTTAAAGTGTGCTATCATACTTTGTATAATGAGTAGTCGTTCAATCTTCCAGGCACACACGAGCCCGTGGTACAGGCTGGCTGGGACTGGGTGGGGGTGGACTGTAGTGTCAGGACCCTGTGGGAGACGCTGTGTCTCTGTCTCTCTGACTCACGGAATCAATGAATAAACTTAATTATAGATATACAATATAAGATCCTCCTGCCACAGTGTGGTATTGTCAAAGCTACTGACAAATTCCAAGAAGGCTGATCACTTCTCTAGTGTGTAATCTCAAGACGGTCCTTGGCTTCAGCAGTAATTACATCACCTTGTATAACTCATAAAGTGCTTCACAATATAATTTTCCCAAACAGATGATAAGGTCCTTGAGAGCAGAAATCACATGTTTCATTTTTATTTTCTATCCTGTAAAGTACCTATGTTATACCGTGAGGCACACAGTGAGTACACAATAAGCGATTGTTAATTTCTTTCTTTTTTTCCTAATTCATCTCAGGAAATGAGCACTTTCTGGAGAGAGAAAGAAAGAGATGGGGAGAAAATGAGAAATCACCCCCCACCCCCCCCAAGGGGAGACAGCCACTTCACAATCCCTTCTCCTTCAATCTCCTCTCGGGATTCTGGGCACAAACACATGCCTGGCTGTTTTTCAAGTTGCCGTGGGATTCAAATTGTGCTGTGGCCTATGTGGAATCCAGCTGCCTTAACCACGACGCCTCAGGATGGCCTGTGATGGTTAGCTTATGTGTTCTGTGCCGTGAAATGAATTAACAAGTCAAAATTTTAAAAATACCTGAACGGGCTCAGCCTCAGTAGTACATGCTGGACACTGCTGTTCAGC